AAGAACTCGTATTTACTGAAAGCTAGTTCAAAGCCAATCAAACTAATAAATAAATCATGTTCTCCAAGATTAAAGCCATGAAAATTTTTGTTTAGCACTTATTTCAATGGCACATTGTGCATTACCTTTTTCATAATGAATGTTTATTAATTATTAATCAATCATGCCAAAATACTAAACTATTTCCAAACTTGTTGATACTTGTGAAATATTCCCTGACTTTGTTCAACGATTATATTTTTTAAAAATCATGTGATATCTGTCGCTGGCGGCTATACTGGGTACACAATAATAGATTATTACGTAAATCGAATGAATGGCAATGCTACATATTTATCAAATTTTATAATTTTCATTCATTTTGTTTTGCAGTTTAATACATGTATTACATTTTGAGATTTGAAAAGACAATGTATACTGTATAAAATTTCCAAGACGTGTTTAAAATGTATTCAAAGGAGATTATATTTTGAAATTAATAGCTAATATTCCTGAAAGATAAATTACGTACTTTTAATAAGTTAAAAAAGCTCTGCATAAGAGTGTCTTGTATTGCATATAATTTTCAGCGCTTTTGCCTACATAAATGTGTACTAACACATTATGGTTTCCATAAGAATGCAAGTGTTTCAACAGGACCAGTTTGTTTATTTAAAGAAAAAAAGTAATATTTATATGTCTATCTTAGGGTCAGTCAGTTAATATATAAAATGTAAACGATATGCGTGAAAATGTGTAATATATTATTAAGAATCCAAATCCATATATAAGTAAACATAAAAGAACAGAAACAATATTAGACATTTATCTTAAGAGTGCAAAGAAGTCGTAAAATGTGTTTGCACGGTAGATTTAAAATATAATTTACTTCATAATTTGAAGCCTGACAAAAAAAAATATTTTGGTACAATTTCCGTTAAATCAAGGTCAAGAATAAACATCCCTAAAATTTGCTAGAATTAAACAAAATGCTATTTTCTGTATGATAAAGATTTTTTATGTATAGAACAGAATGCAATAATTTCAAATCGAGCGCAAACTAAATGTTAATTGTGCAATATTTACAGAAAATAGCAATTATAAAAAAATCCTCCAAAATAAAAAAAAAATGCTCTAAAAGCAAGTATTTCTTTTGGGATCGATATCTATATGCCCAAAATGAAGTTAATGTATCCTTGTTTAGGTCAATTAACCTTTTTGTCATTCAAGAACGCAATTAATGTTGATTGTTCAGAAAACAGCCTACTATTGGAGCTTTTGCAAATGCCTGGGACTATTATACTAACTTAGTATAATAATCCCAGCAAATGCCCAAAATACCGCCATCTGCAAATAGGGATAAATTTGCCTTTCTATATTTAGATAACGCATCAGTTATTGTTAATATCAATTGGTGTATAATTTGACAGAATTAAAGAAGGGATGTTTGAAAGCTAGAAAAGGGACATACTAACTAAATACAATAAAAAAAATCATTTTATGGTTCATAGATAAACACTTTTTTTGGCAGGAAATTATTCTTATCTACACTCTCATATGAAACTGTAAATTTGCATGGGTTTGTCTGGGAATTATGCAAGTTTTTTTTTTACAGGAAATTTGTTTAAGAATCAAGCGAGTAGGTGGGTGAAAAATTATCTTTTATTAACAAAACAAAGATGGCTTCCGCTAGCATTCAATGCAGTTGCGAGAATGTCGGCGCATCTTAACGCATGCGAAGATATAGCATGATACACTTAATCCTCATTGGTCAACTAGATATCAACAACCAATTCTACCAGTAATTAATCTTGACCCTGATCACGAGATGACCATGATGACCTAAACACATAACTTAACTACTACAATGAAGAGCAAGTCCGGTTGACCTCTACTCAGAAAATACTTTTCGGCCAAGCAGGCCTTGTTGACCTCTGCCTAATACATGATAAAAAAAAGTGTACGTTCTAATGTAATTTAATAATGCGTCTTGTAATGATAACGACGTTCCTTTGACTGCTTTACTTGTTTCAGAACCTATTTGAAAGTATGACCCTTGTAAAATTCTATAATTAAAGCTATAGAAATAAAAGGGACTTCAACTAGGACTTAAAGTAAGCATATGCTACTGATGTCCCACACGGGAATTGAAAAAGGGGACAAGCTAGAAAATCGTGAATTTTGCCTTACTTCTTTCACAGTTGAAACCATGTTCTTGTGACCAGTTCAATGTCAGTTTGATATGAGTTTATACAGGTGGTTCAACATTATGATATGAGTATATTCAGGTGGTTCAACATTATGATATGAGTATATTCAGGTGGTTCAACATTATGATATGAGTATATTCAGGTGGTTCAACATTATCATATGAGTATATTCAGGTGGTGCAACATTATGATATGAGTATATTCAGGTGGTTCATCATTATGATATGAGTATATTCAGGTGGTTCAACATTATGATATGAGTATATACAGGTGGTTCAACATTATGTTATGAGTATATACAGGTGGTTCAACATTATGATATGAGTAAATTCAGGTGGTTCAACATTATGATATGTGTATAGACAGGTGGTTCAACATTATGATATGAGTATATGCATGAAGTGCAGAGTCCTCTTTTACAAATAAAAGATAAGTTGTGAATTAGGCAAACAGACCCGTTTTCCTTTCTTGGAAACAAGATTCAAAGTAAAGCAAACAAAAAAAGAAACAAAATGTCCTGGTATTCTGCCTTTTATTATTTCTGTATATGACTTATGATTGACCATCTCATGATTTTCCTTTGCACATTTATTGTTTATAAGAATATTTGTAATCTTCTTTTACAACTAATGAAATAATTTTTGATTTAAATTTAAACACCTGAATTAATTTGATTTTCACACCTGTTAAAATCTGAGAGCGGAATAAATTGTTCAGTTTATTTACTTATTGATGTCGGTATATTTGTCCTGAGTTGCAAGCCACTTTTTACGATTACAAAACCAACCCGCAAAGGATCGTTATTTACAACTGTCTAATCAAACTTCATCTCTGTGCGTACCTCACGAAATGTTTCACCATATGATTTTGCCATATTGAAAATAATTTGTTTTGCTAATGGGCTTATGAAGGCCGTACCTTGACCTATAATGGTTTACTTTTATAAATTGTAACTTGGATGGAGAGTTGTCTCATTGGCACTCATACCACATCTTCCTATATCTATTATAATGTATGCATACGTTATAAATCTTAAAATATATTTTATATTATATAAGGACATAACAAAATCTCAAAAGCTGCAGTCCAACGGTGGATCGATATTTTTGTTTTGCATTGTTAGAAGAAATTTGAACAGCTTTTGATTTGAATAATTCATCAACATCTTCATCTTCATTGAAATCTGGAGAAAGGGTCCTCATACAATGTAGTTATCATCCTTCCCTACGGCTATATCTGTTTCCTGTATCCGTAAAACTCGTATCACGATAGCGCGTGCTCTGAGGAGACATTATCAACTTGAGGAGGAAATATCAACAAATTCTCCCAACATTTATTCCATCATTGTAATGATATCATGTCACTTACAAAGATGACTTGACCAAATAAATTACACTTGCATACCAATTTTTTCATTGTGCAATTTTTATGTTGCAAAATTTACCTTTTATGCTTGAATAAGCAATAGTAAAAACGTGTCCCGCCGGATTCTTAATAACGTCTGCCGGGACTACTTTTTTTTTCTCCATAACGAATTACGACTACTAAATATTTATGTACTCTCAGACTTGATACAAACAACATTTTGATGCGATATTTCTGGATTTTTTTTGTGCAGCGTATGCTTAGAAGTTGTTCAGCAGTCAACGAGTAGAAATTTTCTTCTTCTGGTGATATGAAATACTTCGATCTTTCAATCTATCATTAAGCCTTGTTTCTTCTTTTTTTGTATCATCTTCAAATATTATACATCCACCAGTATATGCATTAATATCATGTACAAAAAACATTTTTCTTCATGTAGTTAATGGGAATATTTTACCCTGCGTATTTTGGCCGCAAGGTGTTCCGCGGTTTAATATGTCGATGACGTGTGTTGCCTAGTAATAACAGAGACACTCCGGTAATAACAATTCCCGCGAAATTATTAAAAAAGGAAATTTTGGTCAAAAACATTTCTTTGAAAGATGATAAAAATGTTATCTGAATGTGGATTGTATAGATATTGATAAATATCAGCCCGCTCGACAGAATATGAAGCTAAATGGCTCGTTCGCTACGCTCACTCGACATTTAGCTTCATATTCTGGCTCGCGGGCTGATATTTTTCTATATCTATATATCCACAACCAGATAACATGTACATATCAGCGCAAATGTCTTTTCTTATTTTTTCATTCTTATTAAAGCACAAGGTCAAAGTATTTGTTAACAAATACTTGACTGTCTGGCCTAATACAGAATTGTCAATACCTTAATTTTGTTCTTCTTGCATTTTGTTGTTGAAGCTGTAAAATGTGCTGAAAAATATCGGTCTGATGTCACATGTGATTCAAGGGAACAGTTTACAGCGTTTGATAATGTTGAAGGTAACAGTTCTGTCTCTGTTTTTTGAAAATCAGTGTTGTAAGTTTTTGTCTCTGTTAAACTAACGTTTAACTGATTTACCTTTTGATGTCATGTTGAAATGCCAACAGTACCTGGCTCCTAATATGGTGGCAAAATTGAAATCAGTTACCTGTGTTTGGAAACACTTGATTTCTCCTTTGCATGATATCAACGAACTAGAAATAATGCTACTGCATTTTTTTAAAGTGCTACACAATTAAAGAAGTTAAATCTTGTTCAATAATGGAACGAAAATGCAATCTTGTTCTCTTTGAACTAAATTTCATATATATATGCCTTATGTTATGAAGTTTCCATGAATATATATGTTCTTTACCTGTTAAAAAAATTATGCAAATATGAGATCTTTTGATTACTGTTCAATGATATTTAAATGACAAAAAGCTGGTTATAGCTGGGTGTAATTTTAGTTATTGTGTGTCATTTGAATATAAATGACTGTGTCAAATAGAAGAAATATTGTTGATGTGTAGGATTGGAAGCAGGATCAAGCAAAAATAAATAAAGCGTAAGCATAATTAATTTAGCATTTGATTCTAAAACCTAAAGAAAGACAATGTTTTAAAAATTAAATAATTATTCAGAAAAAATAACAATAACATGATTTCAAACAGTCTTAAGAGGCATTTCCGTGTTAAAAAGGGATACGTGAATATGTCATGGAAATACTGCCTAGTTTAGTAACTTCTAAGAGAACACAGTTTAAAAAAAAATCTAGTTTTGAGTTTACATATAAATTATAAAAGATTAAATTAAACCGGTTTTTTTTAAGGGGGGGGGGGGGGCAGAAATTAAAAAACTCGCATACATAGGTCATTACTCCAGGGAAGTAGTATCTGACTTTGATGACGGTTTGTGTGTTAATTCAATTTTAATATTCTTTTCATGGTTAGAAAATACATAACATAACACCATTTCAAACTCAATCCCAATTTAATATTCTTGTACGTGTCTATAAATAAAACAAGTCTATTTTATTTTTAGAAATTTACCTGTGATAATATAAACGTCACAAAATATACGTCACTTTTTGTGACGTTGATCCATTCATGTGACGCGCAGTTTATATTTCGTTTGTGGTGTTCTGATGTGCTGTCGTAATTTAATGGGAGTTGTCCGTTGTTATTCTGCGGTTTACATGTTGTAATGTACTATTATGTTATTTATTTATGTATTTCTTTGTGCTGAGTGTTCTTGTGTTTGTATTCCTGTCCCGAAGTGTTGTCATTTTAGCTGTATATTTAACATTGCCATATAAGCGGGAGGTTTGGCTAGCCATGAAACCAGGTGCAACCCACCATTTTTTCTTAAAATGTCCTGTACCAAGTCAGGAATATGGCAGTTGTTATCTACAGTCCGTTTCTATGTATGTTGGCGTTTGCTTTTGTTGTAGTTCAGTGTTTCTGTTGTTCCGTTGTTTTCCTCTTATAGTTGATGTGTTTCCCTCGGTTTTAGTTTGTTACCCAGATTATTTTTTGCTTAATCGAATTATGACTATTGAACAGCGTTATACTACTGTTGCCTTTATTTAAGTGTCAAAGCAAAAATGTCTACTGCAACGCAACACAAAGCAATTGTGACTTACATAACACCACATGGCAGAACCACAGTTTCTTTTTTCTGTAACATGTTTGGCGACCTAAAACATTTTATCCAACAACATGTATTATATGTTAGCCTATCGTATTTGAGGGGCGTCAGCCCAGAAGATATGAGAGGATTACATCTGATTTACATAGAAGTAATAAATAAATATATATATTTTTTTTTTTTTGTTTTTTTTTTTTTAAATACATATTTTATCTTTTCTCTTGTTCTAAAAAGAACAATTAGATTTGATAAAATAGGAGTGCCATTGTCTCAAATTTTCCAAATGCAGTAACACTTTCAGAAGATGTTGTGTGGTTATGGATCAATTCTGCTTTTGTATCGCAATATGAATCGCTGTACTATCTTGTCTTTTTTTCTTAATTTAAGTGCCAAAATCTGAACTGTTTTCTGATAAATGATAAGTACATAACACTTCTATGTAAATTTGCATAAGGGTATATGATTCAGCCGCTATATAACATTTGAGAACCAGCAGCAGAAGACCTGGTTGACTAATTCTATTATATGTATCTCAGCGTGACTAACCGTTGTATTTATGACAATCAGCAACAAAAACTGACTGGACACTGCTCCACTTATGTTTCTGACATCACAATGTTATTTACATACTTCACCAGAAGACAGTTATTTTAGAATAAATAAAGCTTGAGAAGGTTGTAATAAATATTTCTATAGTTTAGATGGACAATCTTGTCTTAGTTGTCAAGCATAAGTGGTTTGAAAGAAATTCTATCATATGTATCTCAGCGTGACTAACCGTTGTATTTATGGCAATCAGCAACAAAAACTGAATGACACTGCTCCACTTATGTTTCTGGCATCACAATGGAATTTACATACTTCATCATAAAACAGTTATTTTAGAACCAATAAAGCTTGGGAAGGTTGTAAAAAATATTTCTATAGTTTAGTTGGATAATCTTGTCTTAGTTGTCGTGCGTTGTAATTAGATCTTTGAATATAGTTTACATTGGCACTAATATCGATTCTGTCATCAGCAAATTAAAACATACTTAAATTTGTATTCTTTTCAAACGGGATGTATAAAGACACATACACGTTCATTTTTATCTATTAAGAGGTTAACTCCTAACTATCCTACTGCCTGTCGATACATTTATTTTTGGCATTGCACAAGTCATGTCTTCTTTGACTGTCCATGACGTTAAAATACTAAATCCCTGGGATGTATTTTTGTTGATTTTAGTCTCTGATGCATGATTTTTTATTATTAATTGTTTTTGGCTTTTAACTAGCTTTCAGTAACTGCGAGTGCTCTCAAATCGTAATTTCTTGTTAATTTGACCTGTTGATACTATTTGTAATGTTTTTTTGTTATTTAATGTTTACTTATTCAGGGTTATGTCTGGTATATATACCAGCTTTTATAAGTGTTTGGTATAACTGTAAATTTTCACTTCTTCGAACTATGAACATCAAAATTATTTATTTTGTAAAAATATTTCCTTTCTCCTTTTAAACTATATACCTGACAACAAAATCATTTTCATTTACCTGTGTATAATATTATTGTAAATGGCGGATTTTTGTTTTTCTGAAATTGTTTAACATTTTACAGCGGTATAATACGGTTACTTTAATTATTCATCATATATTTTATTGATTTTGTATTTACATTGCATCATAGATCAAATTTATTCGTTCAGTGTTTGTTCACTTGTGGTAATATGTCTTTTGATTGAGTTGAGCCATTCCAATCGATATTTTATAGTGTGTCTTTCTATGTTGTGATGTTACACTATTGTTTCAGATAAGGGTAAATGTTTGGTACCATTAAAATGTTTAAACCTGCTTCAATTGTTTGCACCTGTCCTAAGTCAGGAATCTGATGTTCAGTAGTTGTCGTTTGTTGATGTGGTTCATAAGTCTTTCTCGTTTCTCGTTTTTTATATAGATTAGACCGTTGGTTTTCCCGTTTGAATGGTTTTACACTAGTAATTTTTGGGGCCCTTTATAGCTTGCTGTGCGGTGTGAGCCAAGGCTCCGTGTTGAAGGCCGTACTTTCACCTATAATGGTTTGCTTTTCTAAATTGTGACTTGGATGGAGAGTTGTCTCATTGGCACTCTTACCACATCTTCTTATATCTATATAAGTGGTTTCAAAGCAAAAAATTCTAACAAATTAATGATTGAGCTGCAAGATCCATCAAAACCAACTCATCAAATGAATTCTACAGTATGTGGCTATATTACAGAACAGACCACACAATCTCTGTAATGGCTGTCTGTTAGCAATTTATTCCGAGTAAGAATTTTAAAGAATTCGCCAACATGTTGCGAATGGGTAATAACATCATAATCAATGAATTTCCAGTCAAAAGTATATTTTTCATTCTGCTGTACGTACAATGAATTGCTGACTCTCCTTTAGATTCTTAAACGATGAATTGTGTAATTTGATGGTATGTTTGTTTGTTTTTTATGTACAAATAAGTTAATAAAGCGCGGTGGGCATATCGCTAAGGCATAGCAATCTTATAGAAAAGAAAGGATATGGGGTATCTATCCATGACACAAAATCAGTATGTGCACATCAAGAAACACAAAATTCAAAGGAACAGCGCTTTTATTGCTGTTTTTCTCTTTGAAGTAGCTTTCAGTTACTGCGAGTACTCTCTGATACTTTGTATCGTTTGTAGTTTTTTTATTTATTTTTGTGTGCTTCAAACCGATCTGACGAGTCGAGCCATTCCCAATTGCTTTGACAGTTTGTTCTTATGTTGTGCTGTTACACCACTGTCCGAAACTACTTTCCATTATTACAGAAAAGACAGGTGGTAGAAACTCGATTAAAAGATCAAATATAAATAGACGGTCTTTTTATAAAATAAATCAACCGTAATAAATTGGTATCGTAAGATTTGTATTCTTTTTTCGCTTATACAATTCAGGAAAGTACCACTACGGGGTTGTTTTCCGGAACAGTCTCAAAATTTGACGAATTAAGATCAAATTTGAGATATTTAATACACTTACGCAAACATTTTCACATATAATTTGAAAAAGAAGTGATATTGAATGGGATTTTTGTGTGTTACAGTCATTAAAAGAAGTATGCGCAACATGAGATCTTTTGATTACTGTTTAATGATGTATAAAATGATATAGCTTTTAATAGCCGGGTGTAATTTTTTTTAAAGTGTTTGTCAAATGGATATATAGGACTTTGTCAAACTGAAGGGAATTGGTGATGTTTTGGATTGGAAGGATTAATTAAACAGGGAAGATCAAAATAAATAAATAATGACGTAAACATAACGAGTTTGGAGTGTACATGCTAAAACAGAAGACAGGTATTTTAGAACTAATGAAGCTTATGAAGGTTGTTGTAAATAGATGCATAGATGCATAGAAGTTGTCAAGAAGAAAATTGACAGGTCTTATCATTTCTTCACAGTTCCAGTTACATCTAGTATATTTATCTTTCTAATTATAGAGGATGCTCTTTATGAGTTGCAGAAAATATATATGCAGAAAAATTACTCGAAGGACAATCTGAAATGAATATTCTTTTTAATCGGTTGTGTTTGTACTGTCTGTACCAAGTCAGGAATATGACAGTTGTTTTCCATTCGTTTGATGTGTTTGAGCTTTTGATTTTGCCATTTGATAAGGAACTTTCCGTTTTTAATTTTCCTTGGCGTTCGGTATTTTTGTTGTTTTTTGTATGCGTGTAATGTATGTTTACATATTTTGTCCTCTGGATCCCAATTATTGTCACGTTTTCCAATTATGTCTATTTGGATTGCCCATCCAAATTTATCAATATAACGGAACTATAAACAACTGTCATACAAGGTTTCAGTAGCTATAAAACAAGGTTTAACCACCATTTCTGGTCCGAGGACGTAGTTATCGTCCTTTGACAAATACAGT